AGTTCAATGTATAGAGCAGTTATCTTTGAGAAATCAATATAATAGTTATGTATTAGCAGGAATTTCAGAGCTTACAGTCTATTTATTAGATGACAATTGCTTTTTAAGTTCTGTTATTTGTATTAACATACTAAAAGACTATCTTCTGACAGTTTGTGAAATGCAAGTTTTCAGATTTTAAACTGTATTACACAGCTAATTTTTCATCTGTGGATTAAAGAAATTAAGGAAAAAAAACCCCATAAATCTTACAACTAATGGTGCCTAAAACTCGGCCTTATTATAGGCCAGTGTGTATGGATTTCTCACTGTTGCATTGGCTGGTTTTGAATACCCTAAATGATGGTATTTGGTGCCAGGATGGTCCAGTCCCTGTGGGTGGTGAGGTGAGGTGTGATGTCTGTTGGTTTATGTGCGCAACTTTGTCAACTCTGAGACTCCTAAAAAATAATTTCTTGCTTATAGACCTGCCTGTTACACTAAAGCAGAAATTTCCAGGCTCTCTGCATCGCAGATTCGGAATCTTAATCCTGTGTTTGGGGGATCGGGACCAGCTCTGACAGGACTTCGTAATCTAGGGAACACTTGCTACATGAATTCCATATTACAGTGTCTGTGCAATGCACCTCACCTGGCTGAGTATTTCAACAGAAACTTGTATCAAGCTGATATTAACAGGTAACAGTCTCTCTCATCTGCCTTCATACTTGCCAATTCAAGAAGATCGCTTAGTGGGGCTGTTTGTTTTTTTAAGTAGGAGACAAGTGTTAACTTTTAAGCACCTTGACATTTTCAAAATTCATGTGTGTCACTAAATAGGTTTTACTATTAAATAATAATAATTAATTACAAGAATTACCTGGTAATTAAATTACGATCACCATGTTCAAAAATACGTGTACTAGAGTCTCGTAATACCAAAATGAATATTTAATAGTTCACAAAACATGCTGAAAACAGCTGTACCTTTCAGCTGGAATATGAAACCAAATTGCACTGCTGACATAGATGAAAATTTATCTCCATCTAACAGCCAGTTTTCTTTAGTTTAAAGAAATGATTTTAAAATTAGGATCATGTCTTGAATTAAAAACATAAATATTAAAACCCAGTTATTTGAATGGCTCAGAATTTTTTCATCTCTTATTTTATAGGTCAAATTTCCTGGGGCATAAAGGTGAAGTGGCTGAAGAGTTTGGTGTAATAATGAAAGCTTTATGGGCAGGACAGTATAAATATATCAGTCCAAAAGACTTCAAAATTACAATTGGGAAGATTAATGATCAATTTGCAGGATATAGCCAACAGGACTCTCAAGAATTACTTCTCTTTCTAATGGATGGCTTGCATGAAGACCTGAATAAAGTAAGCAATACACTTAAACTATATATAACTTAAAGCAAATTATCTATCTGACACATGATCAAGAGAAATAATTTTTTAAAATACCTTGTTATTCCATAAGAAGATGATGTTACTGCAACCTTGTATAGAAAAAAAATATGAGTATTCAGAATTAAAGTAGGAATTCGGTATGAAATGGTAAAAGGTAGTGGAGGGAGTCAGAAGAATGCTCACTAGACAAGAACTGGATGGCTACACTGACATGTTTAAATAGTCTTGTGAATATTCAATCATATGCTTGCCTATAGATGAGACTTCTTACTTTCATGTATGTTAATATATTGCCGTGATCTTAAACTTCTGCTATCCAGGCTGACAACAGGAAAAGATACAAGGAAGAAAATAACGATCACCTTGATGACTCAAGTGCAGCAGAAATAGCCTGGCACAAACACAAACAGCTCAATGAGTCCATTATTGTGGCACTCTTCCAAGGGCAGTTCAAATCCACCGTGCAGTGTCTGACGTGTCACAAGAGGTCCCGAACCTTCGAGGCTTTCATGTATCTGTCATTACCACTCGCATCCTCCAGCAAATGCACTCTGCAGGTATGGGGAACTGGAGAGAAACAGCTCCTGGAGTGCAGACATTCCTCTGGCACTTCATTATGATGCTGCTCCTGCTCCACCCTCTGGTTGAAGGGGTTGGTCAGCATTCTGCTTAGTTTGCACTGACCTGATGAACACGAACAGATTAACAGATCTGAATCTACATTATTTTTTAATTCTTTTAAAGCTTAAAGTAATAGGTCTTCCCTTAAAAGTTTTACTTTAAAAGCAGGATGGAAATACTGAAGCTGCAATAGCAGCATGTATATATATTACTTGCTTTGGTAGGTCACAATGTAAGTATTCTGTGGTTTTAAACAAAATATTGCCTGTATATTTTGAAGGACGCTAATTAATATCTGCATATATATAAAATTTGCTTCCACACATAGATTTAAGTCACTTTTCTTTAGTGAATGTAGGATGCAGGTAACGGATGCAGGTTAACAATCAAGTGGGAAACAAACATTTTTGTTATACTTCCATAAACGCCTGCCATACAAACAATCTCTGTTTGTATTTTGTTTTAGGAATGCCTTAGATTGTTCTCCAAAGAAGAAAAGCTCACTGATAACAATAGATTTTACTGTAGCCATTGCAAAACTCGAAGGGATTCTTCAAAAAAAATAGAAATTTGGAAATTACCACCTGTTCTTCTTGTGCACTTGAAACGGTAAGGAAATGGTGATTGGTGAATATTAATTAGTATCAAAAGACCAGGCTTTGATGGAACTGAATTGTTCCAGGGCAGTAGCTGAGCATTTTTACTTAGAGAAGGTCTCAGACATATTACCAGTTGTAATGTTGCAAGAATTTTATTTTCATCTGATGCTTCTTTTATAAGGCTGTAATTCCCAAGGCACTTTTACAAGTAATCTCATGTTATTTCTGCTAAGAAACACACAGGCAAGCATTAACAGAGCTGGGGGTTTTACCCGAGACCACATCCTGGTTAAAAACACAGAAAACAAACATACTTAATACACTTGAATGGCTTGTGAACAACCTGTAACTTTTCATGATGCTTTTTAATTCTCTAGATTTTCCTATGATGGAAGATGGAAACAAAAGCTTCAAACTTCAGTAGATTTTCCACTGGAAACTCTTGACCTCTCACAGTATGTTATTGGTCCAAAGACTTCCTTGAAGAGATACAATCTGTTCTCAGTATCGGTGAGTAACTGTGTCACATTTCAAAATCCAGCTGCACTTTATGCCAGGACTCAGGGTAGCCTGTGTGATTCAACCAGGTTCCCAGGCTGCATTGTAGTTGCAGACTAAGTTGCATTTTAAAAAGAACAATTGGGATTTAGTAAAAATTTCATGTTCTAGATTATTTCCCTAACCAGGGAAGAAATGGCAGCTTTGAAGGCCACTAATCCTTGCCTTACATTCACAGAATCATTACGGTGGGCTGGACGGGGGGCACTACACAGCCTACTGCAAAAATGCTTCAAAACAGCGCTGGTTTAAGTTTGATGACCATGAAGTGTCTGAGATCTCGGCATCCTCGGTGAAGTCCTCAGCTGCTTACATTCTCTTTTATACTTCCTATGAACAGCGAGCAGTAGATATGGCCACGTAAAGAAATATGGGTTATGGAAACTGGTTTTCTTTCTTCAAGAGCAAAGCAGGCCTGGGAATGCATATAAATATGCAAAACTACAGCAGACATAGTCACTGGAGGAGTGGGAGGGCTGCAGCAGGGTGTGTGCCAGCAGAGTTTGCTCGGGCCCGTAGCAGTGCTTAACAATCAGAGACTGATGGGTAACGCTTATGGTCATACTGCCATCTGTGAAACCATTTACAAGCATATTTGCATTACTGTTCATTTAAAAAAGAACTATATTTTTAGTCTGCTCCAAAATTAAATTCTAGCTTAGCCATCTGAAATCTATTACCAAGTAGTTTAAAAATGTCTTAAAATCCCAAGGCATATCTTGGTTTATTTTTTTCTTTCACTGTTAATGGCCTTTTCACATTTCTAACCTTAAGCTTGATTCTACTGTGAATACTCTAGAACGATGTAAACAGTTAGGAATGTAAGTGTACATATTGATTGCATACTTGCACATCAGAGTTATGTATATAATAAAATGTTGTCCTTTTTGTGGGAATCTCTAAAACTCAGAGGATTGCATTTATTTGCCAGCTCTAAGTAATTGCAACACTACTTAATAAAAAAGCAGAGCTGTATTATTTTTTCTGTTAGCTTTTGTCACTATTTGTGCACTTCAGAGTTACTCTAAACAAACAAGATTTTCCTTTTTAATTTTTTAATATAAATTTTCATGTACACATGCATTAAAAACCTTAATGAAGAAATTATTTAAAAATATATCCTGTTAAATGTATGTTTGGGTTTGGTTTTTCATTCTCAACCTGTTATGTAATGATCAAGATTGTACAGAATAACAGTCTGAATCATATTCACACAGTTTAAAGGTTCCCCAGATTAAAAAAATACATTGTTTTGCATAGAGCTGATTAGTTTAAAAACTTCTAGTTTCATCTTACATATTTCCCTGCTCTGGATTTGGGTTACTTTTCCTTCTCTAATTAGGCTGGCATTCAAAAGTCTTACATTCTGAGCTTTTACCTGTCTGGGTCTGTCTTGCTGATGGAATAAAGACGAATATTGGTTGTTTTCCAGAAGCTTACAAGCTGCAAACAAGTTTGAAGTGCTGGAGGAACAAAAATGACATCAGTAGAACAATGCCTTTTTTTTTTCTTATATATTAATGGTCACTCCATCCTCTCTTCTGTAGCACACAGTCTGGTCTGGTTGTGTGCTTTCGCTTTGGCATCCTTCTGTTAGTTCCTGAAAGGCAGCTTAGAACAACTGTACATAACCAGCAGAAAAACAAGAATTTCCAGGTAAGTGCGTCTGTGTGCTCAACAGCTGTGTTGTTTTGAGGGGTGCCAGAAGGTTGTCATGGAAAACAACCCTTGGCCCTTGTGCACATGGAGCAGATGCACGTTCCTTCGAGGCTTAGAGGCTGTAACTGTCCTTTCTCGGAATCAGTTCCTGAAAGACCACCACAGCTGGTCAGTAGTGCACATGCTCTATTTTATTGGTGAAACAGGAGTTGGCTATTGCTGCTGGTGAGTTCTAGGTGCTGCCCTACCCAGTGTTGATTTTCGAGGACTGACAGGGTCTCAGTAGCCTTTGGAGGTGTAGAAGAGGAGATACGCTGTGTCAGCCTGCACTTCAGAGTCTGGGATCTCAGTGACCTGGGCATCATCAAAGCTGTACCAGTGTTTGGTGACTGCGTGCTTGCAGAAGGCGGTGTAGTGGCCATAATCCAGATCTCCAGCATGGTTCTGTAACAAACAACAGAGTCTGTTAAAACCAGAGTCCTGTCCTGTCTACTTACAGGCAAAGCTAGGAACTGGCAATTGTTTTATGTATGCACTTGGAAAAGACGGGACAGAGGGTCCCTTTTGGCCTAGAGCAGGGAATGTTAATTCAAATAAATTCTTTGAAACAGAGTAAATGGATCATTATCATGCTGATTTATTTTGCAATTGCATTTGCAGCCCAACTATTAGCCCTGATACAGGTCACTATAAGAGAGCCCCACTTGTTGTGAGCCATGTCCTTATTTAAAAACAGGATTCGTGCAGGATCAGCCTGCGCATGTATTCTGAGGAGGGATTATGTGCCAGGAGTGCATTCTTTTAAAATTGGGATGTAGGGGAAGGAGAAATAACATCTCTGTCCTTTAGTTATGTACTGTTAGTGGATTATGTCCATGGCAGGTAAAAAAAGCATACAACAAAACATACATTAAATTATAAATTATTAGATGTGAAGTCCAAACCAACACAAGCTTCATCTGCTCAATGAGGCAGGGCGTTCCCAGTAAAAGCGGGACAAAGCTTACCACTACAGCACACAAGCTGTACTCTGTATTGTTGCAACATGATGCAGAGATGTAGGGAGAGAGATCCAGGTCACTGAACGGGTAGCAGACGGTGGTTGAGAGTTTCCTTCTGTGCTTGTCCTGCCAGGCAAACCTGAAATTAAATTTTGAATGATTTTAAATGACCCTCAACTTCTATTTGCATTGTGGTCTTTGCTTAACTGAATTTCCTAAGAGGAGGGAAAACCAACAACTGACTACCCAGCATTTGAAAGAAAGATCTCTAATAATGTTGTGTATTGCAGTAAACTGACAGAAAATGCACTAAACCCACATGAGATTTCCTGCAGGAAAAACAAAGCTCTTGCTTCCTGATCCTTCAGTCAAAGCATGAAGTCATATCTTTGCATCACTCTTCCTGCATCCTAAACATTTTGGACTAAACTGCAGTGCCACTGTCAGCTCTTCTCTCATGCCAGACTCCATCCCTCTTCCCTCTGTAACTTTGAGTACATCACTGCACTTTTAAACATTTATGGTGTGGCTAAGAGCTGCATCTGGAGATCACGTCCTTTGAGAATGTTGAGAAAAGCAGATGCTGAATGGAAAATTAAATTAGAACTTAAAATAACACAGTTCTGGGAAGCCAAATCATCCCAGATTAGTTTTCTTTATAGGTGGAAAGTTGTTAAGAAAAGAATTCTTTAGAATAAATTCAGCATCTGGCTGTGTGTGGCTAGTGAAGTCTGCTAACCCAGGTGCTCCTTTGCTGGTGCACCACTCTGTTTACGCCTGATTTAGTAAAGAGATAAACAAAAACTGCCTTAACTGCAGTAGCAGCAAGCAAAACACTGTCAGTCCTGCTCTTGGAAACCAAGCCACAAGCCCTATCAGTCACCACAGGAACTGATTCACAGGGGTCACACAGGGACTGAATGAGCCACTGCACTGGGCTTTAGTCAGTCACTGCGTGGTGGAGTTTTTCTTCCCTCTGAAGAGCAGGTCCCTAGTACAGGGAGAAATTTGGTGGGCTGCAGTACACAGGCAGAACACCATGCATGAGAATTCAGGAATGCAACTTGCATGTTTGACAGCTGTATTTCTGTAAATGCTCTTTTAGTTTTCAGGTATCAAAAGTACTAAACCCACTTATTTGCACTTGGAAACAAGTCATTTGTTTCCTTTCAGGCAAACACAAGTGACAGTCCTTCATGTCTCACATTACCCAGGAACTGGCTGTGTCCTACCCCACTTAGACTATACCTCTTTAAGTGGAAAATAATGATCTGTGGTGCCTTGGTTATGGAGGCCTTTACTGTTGCATCTTGGTTGCCTCCACACCAGTAGCAGTGGATTTGGTTGTTCTGAGTTAGTGTGTCTGGCTGGAAAAAGCATTCCAGGCAGTCCTGTAAAAGGAATAAAAACCAACAAACATCACTTGATCGAACAGATCTCACTCCACCCTGAATGTGCTAAGCAACATAAGAGATGAATTTGCTCCTCCTAACTGAAGTGTGATGCAGCAAGGCTGACATTACAAATTTGCAGGACAAAGCAGCCAACATTGGCTTCCATTCTCCCTATCAAGGTGGGAAATACTTGGATGACTGGAAGAAACCTTCATGGCTGCTATTGAATGATCTTAATACCCTCAGCCCCTGGAAACTCGTGAGCATTGTGCCTGTAACCTTACCAGCCTCAGTGGTTCTGACACCAGTTAAGAGACTCCACTTCTCTAGGGACCAGATCCAAGGCTGTCCATTAGTGCCCAGGAGACCAACATGACTAAAGGCCTGCATCTTTCCAGTCACACCTATTAGTCTAAGCTTCTGCTCCCAGATGAAGCAGGAAGCAGCAGGAATGTGTTGGCTGTTGTACCTGCAGAGAGCACACTCTGGTGGAAGGAATGGGCAGGGAGAGGATGGTGAAACTCTCGGGTCTGTGACTGAGGGCTTTGCATCTCAGACACCTGATACCGTAGCTGAGCTGTCCTTCAAATAACTCTGTTATAATAGATGTGCCACTGCTACTCCTTGTGCTTGCTTCTGCAGCAGGGCTCTGTCTTTCTTGGCTTGGCTATACAGAAGGAAAAAACACAAACAAACAAAATATAGATAAGCAATTGTTTGAGAAGTGCCTTCGCTGGGTTTTAATAGGTGCTGCCCACTGCCTGGGTTGATCAGTTGTTAAGTCTTGCCACAGAACTTGTCTCTAAAATGCTTTTATTTTACTTGATGGTTCATACATGCAGAGTAAGATTGATCCATTTTCTGAGAGAAAAGTAACAAAAATACAACAATTCAGACATTCGATAGCATTAATTGCTTGGAAAGCTCTTTATCAGTGGCTTTGGAGGGGAGAAAGTCATGGGGGCATAGCGGATGCTTGGCAGAAGAGATGTGGAAGATGAGAAAGTGGAAGAACATTAAGTGTGGAAGGAGCAAGGAGAAGGAGAAGTTAGAACAGTGAAGCTACACCAGCATTGTCATTTAAATTGGGGCTGCAATTTGATGGAGCATTAGACAAGAAGCAAATTAATAATTGTGTTTACATGGGTGTGAAATAAAGGAAGAAAAGGAAAGTTTTCCTTTTCAGAAAAGTTCAGAAGAGGAGAACAGCATTCCATGTAATAATTGCCTAAGTCATGAAATGGCGGAGGAAACAGCTGTAGTTCCCAAAACACCACAGCTGGGCTCACCTCCTTGAAAGCCTCGTGGAGGTCATCCAGCACACAGATGAGGAACTCCTGTGCATCATGCTGAGTCCTCCTGCTAAAAGCTGGGTACCGCTTCTCAAAGATGGAATGAAAAGCCTCAGGGGAAACATAATCAAACTCTCCAAGCCACATGTCGGACACCAAACAGCCAAAGGCAGTCGCAGACTCGCCAATCTCCCTTGGAAAAAAGGGGAGAGTTTCAGATGATGTATGAAAAAATAGTGTCTGCCTTCAAGTGGGAGCACAAGACAGAAACTCAGAAAACAGATAAAGGTACAGTAGAGCTTTGGCAGCTGTTGCCTGACTCGAGGGACTCTGCAGATCCCAAAGTGGTAGGAATCATCATCATGACAGCAGTAATGGGTATTGCCATCAATATGGCAAGAAAAGCTATCATGATCAAGGACACAGCAAGGAATCAAGCTGGGCTCTCAAAGGAGAAAGAAACCAGCTGGTGGCAAATCTGACTGGAACTTGAACTGTGGGGAGCTGGCAGGTGCCTTGGACATTCCCATGGCAACATGTATCCTTTGGAAGGAAAATAGTGCCAAGCAGAAAGCTTTCAGTACTGTGAACAAACCAACTCACTCGTGCAGGGCTGTGTTCCACGTTCCTGAGAGGAAATGCTGCACGAGCGGGGTCAGGCTGCAGAGGCACTGCAGCACCGCGTTCATGTAGCACGTGTTCTCCAGGTTCTGCAGCCCTGTGAGCCCTGGGTGCAGGCTGCTTATATCTTCCAGCTGTTCCTTGGGGGAATACTTCCATTTCCATGCCATCCTTCCACCTACTATGAGAAAAATCCACAGCAGTGGAAATCAAAAATGCTACAGTTTCTTCTTTAAAAATGACATTTGCATTTATTTTCATGAGGTTTACAGTGGTGAAGGCTCTTCATTTTTCCCACTAAGCTCTTTCCAGTATGGTAAGATACATCATTATGAGGTATTATTTAAACACCTGAGGTTTTAAGAGTTTTTCCTAAAATTCCATTCAGTCTTTTACTCCATACACAGTTACTCAGACTACAACCACTTGTGAATAGCCATCTTTAGGGCAAAATGCTTAGCTGTGCATATTACATTATATTTCATTGCCTCAGGGGTACAGTGCTCATTATTTTCTAAAACCATAGGTTGCAATCCAGATGCTACTACAAACAGGTTGTTCTTCAGATTTGTGCTATAAAGTGTTGCTTAATTCATGTTAGGAAAATTTGAGTAGGTTTCTGGCTGCACAAGTCTGTCCTGGGCCAAACTGTCCCCTTCCACAGTCAGGCAGTCAAGAGGCTGAACACAGACCCTACACCACCCATGTGCTCACTGATGTTGCTCTTTTTTAGAGGCTGATGTTCTAATTTGAGGCAGGACAGAGAACTCTAAAACCACAGCAATCTCCATAGAGCAAAGATGAGCGGTGCCCCCTGTGTTCCATGCTGTCGCCCTGGCTATTCCTGCCCCAGCCCCTTGTGATGTCACTTGGTTACTCTGGGCAGGGAGCACACCTGGTCAGACCTGCCTCCATCTCCTTCCACGTGCCAGCCAGAACAGAAAACCTTGGGAAGAGAGGGACACCCACCCATTCCACTGAGCAGGGAGCTTTGGCCCAACACACCTTTATCCATATTTGCTCATGCTTGTATTAGGATTTATTATTGCTGTACTCTGCTGGAAGTGATGACTGAGGGTGTTGACCATAAAAGGATGGAGCTACCTCAAAACATCATACTGAATTAGTTTCTTGGTGTTTTCTTGAGAGGAAAAAAAAGGTATGGCAGATGCCTTTTAATTAGTTACGTTAATGCAGTTCATCTCTGAATTCCATATGCCACTGAAGAGTAGCAGTTTTTCCCTATTTAACAGACAACTTGGGAAGTAACAAGTATTCACAGAAGAGGCTCATGAAGTGATTTAAAAAACCTCCTAATCATCTTACTTGTTAAACTTGAAGCAAAGGATGTCTCCAGCACTCCTGGGACAGCTGTCACTGCTATTGACCCTTCAAAATATGATTTAGTTTCATAAATGGAAGTGGATGTGTTTATTCCCACTTTTTGTGGAATCTGAATCAAGACTTTGACTTACTCTTTTAATGTATTATGATACACAAATCCACATGGGTGCTACCTACTGCAAACTCTGGGCTGACAATTAACTTCCCATTACTCTCACTACAAAGTGGATTATTACAAGGAAAAGTGTTAACTGTGAAAAGAAGGATTAAACCATCAGAACTTTTTTCAGAGGCTTTGTTACATGTTAAAAGATCCTATTTTCTTTCCAACTGGTCTTTTAGGAATATTTAACATGAACTGTTACTACCAAGTCTCCAGCTGTAGTCTTTTTTCCTCTCCAAAATTCCTGCAGTGTTAAGACTTAGGGCATTAAGTGAGATGCAACCACAAAGAATTCAAGTGTAGGAAGTCACTGTCACAGGCTTAGAAACCAAAGCCTTCCTTTTCCAAATCACAAAGCTGCTGAGCAGCAGCTAAAAAAAGAGCTGCCCAGGAACTCTGTGTTTTGCCACAATGCATTTGGGATTGGTTTTCTCTGAAATGCTTCACCACCTAAATACTGCAAGAAAGCAACAATGACTTTGATGGATTAATTAAAAGTTTAAATTATGTAGGTTATTAATTTCCCTATATGAGAAGTACTCTTTCCTAGTAGGAAATTCACTGAAGAATTTCAGATTTTCACTAAAAAATATTAGTTTGTATTATAGTCCTGTATTTAAAAGCTAGGTTCTAAGAAGATATGCCCATTCTTTATTCTTGGATAGTTACCAGAAGTTCCAGTTCCATCACTTTCCTCCTTTTTGGTAATCTAAAGGAAATTTATAAGCGAAAAGATCACAACTCCTCCTTGTTTATAGAGCATTTCAAGACTGATGAGGTTTCAGCAGAGGAGTGACACTTGATGTTCTCAAGCAAATTGAATTTCATGGAATAGTTTCCATGTTGCCACTGCCCAACATCAGCAGGATGTGGCACTGTCCAAACAGAGTCAGGCTGCTTTTTCAAACCAACTTGTTTTCTTCCTTTGCTACCAAAGGAGAGGCTACTTTCCCAATTCCTTCCCTAAAGGGTACTTGACATTTATTATTTTTTCCTGCAAGTATAAGGCAGATCACTTCTGAAAGTTACACATTTCTCCCCACTCAGTTTAGACATACGCTTCTCATGTCATTCAAGCTAAGTCACACAGAGTAAGCTACTGCTCATGCCAGGCAGATGTACAGAAACATGAACAGTGGTAACCACTCCAAGTCTTACAGGCATTTCCCAACCACATTTTTCCCTTTTGGTCCTGAAAAAGCTTCAGGCCTGAGTCACTGCAAGACTGAGCAGGAGGAGCACTCCCCATGATCACTCACACCCATCACAAGGTGGTCACATCTGTTTATTTTGCTAAGAAATGAGTCACAAGCAGAACTACTGAAGACCAGTACATCAAAAATAACTAAGAAAGAACTGTGCGTAGTTAAGTATGTGTCAAGACACAGAGTTTCCCAGTTTTTACTTACAATTTTCTCAAAATGTTTTTCTTCTTTCATACACTGAAATTGGGTCACATTTTCAAAACACCGGAGACTCCTCTAGAAATCTCTCTCAATTTGCAGAGCCAGTCATGCTTACAGACTCAGTGCTGCTGTTACTTGGTGTTAGAAAGGTGCAAATACATCTTGAATATCTGCCCATTCCCTCCCAGCAACAGGAGGTGATGCAGTCAGGCATCTCTAAGAAGCAACTCCTAATTAAACATTGTGAAGAGCTATTTTTGACTCATTTACTCATTAATCCCCTCACATGTGTTTGACAACTATGACAGTTTTCACTTTTTTACCTTCCTAGTTTCTGGTCTTGGCCAAAGTTGTGATACCTCAAAGGCAAACAACTGCTTTGATCCAGCACAGCAATTTCTACTTTTCTGCAAAAAGAGTTACTTAAATTCACCAAAATAACCTTTCAGACTGAGACAGAGAGCAAAAGTCTGTAAACAAGAATAAATTTATTTTAGATTCTTTAAAGATTTAATGATATACAAAATGTATACAGTATTATATCCTTATAACATTTTACCTTTCCCCATCAAACATAAAACACCATTTAAACAACTATTGTGTTCGTGCCTTAGGTCTGTATCTATAAGATACACTACTGAATAAAAAATTTATAGAGCTATATACTGCCCTTTTAATTAAAAATTACAAATTAGTACCTATGTAACAAAAAAAATCGCAGCATGAAACTTCAGTTGGACAACAGGTTCTTTTCTTGCTGAATGCTCAACAATATTTGGGACAGTTAAATTACATTTTATTGGCATGAAGGTGCATTGCAATCTCCCGTAGTTTACACAATGCTAATCCAATCCTAATCTCTCTTAAGTAAGTACCACAAATAACATAACATTAAAGATGTTTTCTACACAATTTTAAATACATTTACAAGTTATGTGTACATTCGGTTTCGATATACTGGTTTTAGGAGATCTTTGGAAGGCAGAACTTCTGAAGCAGTCACTACATACGTACAAGGGAAAGCACTTCCAACTTGTGTTCTTACAAGGCAACTTATTTGGACCAGCACAAACTAATTCTTCTATTAAATATGATTATACCAGTCTATCATGGCTTTGTTACTATTTGACAGTGACTTGATAAAATTGAAATGTGTAAAACAAGAAATTTCATTATGCACAATTCAGGCTCTATTTCACAAAACAAAAACAACCAAGCCCAGTTTTACAGTTAAAGAAGCTGAAAGAATCCTGATTCAGGAGACTCTCTCTCTCTCTTTTGGAACAGACCAAGTTCCTACCTTCAACTTCAGTCTATTGGCATCCTATATATGCCTCATTTGGCTCTGTCCTCTTCAAAAGGCCAGATTAAAAGACACCTGGTGAGAAAATATTAGTGGAACACTTCCGAAAACACTCTAAAAATACTCTGGCATTACAGAGGTAGGTGCTTTCTCCTGGTTTTGCTGATTGACAGCAAGACAAATGCCAGAAAGGCAAATGCTTTACCTTAAAACATCAACTACCAAAATCCTTTTGGTGGAAGGCATATTTCCCATCCCAGGACTACAGGAAGAAAATCCTCCACTAAACCAAAATAAAATAAAAAATAAAACTTTCTGCTTAAAAAGCCCCTTTAAAAACACATCTTAAATACTTGTCATTATTCCACCTTTAGAATGATCAGCTGCCACACTGCTCTGTAGATAGTTTTCACAAGTCGTAAAATCCTTAGATTATGGACCAGCCAAAATTCCACTTGTAAGACAACAATCCTTGTTTTGACAAGTCTTTCTTTTCATTATAGTGAGGGAAAGATAAGTGACAACTTTGTGAGGTTCCATGAAGTTTGAACGAAGCCACTGAGTTGGTCACATCATCAGAGCATCAGACGAATAGAATTGGCCGGATCAGAATCTTTGGTGCAGCTTCCAGGCTGAATTGTCAATTCAGGGGCATCATCCTGAGGAAATATGATCTTGTCAGGTGTGTAATCGTTCCTCTTCAGATCTGTACAAACAGAAGAAAGTCGTAACTATTACTATTTCTTAAGCTAGTAGAATGGGCCATAAATGTCTAGCAGAAGAATTGAATATGCAAATGCACTTATAAAGAGGAATTCCAGGATATGCACTGTCAAAAAGGTTGTTTTTTGTATGTTTTTATCAGAGGTGCAATCAGAAGCCTAAAGTCAAATTACAAAACTACTGTTTATTACTTGTTCCACTTTCACAGCATGCCTTGACTATTTCATTACATACTATACAACATCTCATGACGTAAGTGTCTCAGGAGGGTACTGCAGCTCTTACCAGGAAGTTTCAGTTTCCTGCAGCAGGAATTACAGTGGTGCTTTGCTCTGAAGTTTTTTATTGCATCCTCTCCCAAATTGGCTGGACCAAACACCATATCATATGACCTTAGAAACAAAGTGCACATAAACATCACTTGCATGTGTTCTCTTTCCAGTGAAAAGTTCACAATACTTTAAGTCTTTCTTTACCCTTACCTTTTTTCCCCAGCTTTTATCACAGAGGGATCTGTCAAATTTTCACCAACACCTTCAGACAGCACATGAAGAAAAAGTTAAATCTGATACACTTCTGATTACATAAATATATTAATATTAAAAAGCCTTGGAATCCTTAGCTATGACTTCTCAGCTTCTCCAAGAATAAAAACAGAAAAAACCCCACAACAAACCCAACCCAAACTATACGTGATTCTCTATCTTTAGAAAATTGCTCCTAAACAAGCACTTGGTACTTCTCAGATTTCTTCCATCTATTTTTTTTTGCATTTCCTAGCTTGAGTTTTCACCCATGAGAAAAACCTATACAGTTCTCACTGCCAGAATACCTGGCACACAATTCAGGATAAAACCAGCTCACCATAC